TTGAGACACCTGTGATGGATCGGTCATGTGAGCCGTATGGATTCGACGCGGTTACCGGAACAACTCTTATACGGTCAGCTGAGTATTGGGAAGCGGCACGTGGGAAAACCAAAGCTAAGTTGCCAGGACATGATTAAAGTGAGCCTCTCACGTTCTAACCTTGATTGCAGGTCATGGGAATCGAAGGCAGTTGATCACCGTGCATGACGAGATCTATTCACGAAGTCAGTTGCTGATGTGCAGGAGAAAGCCTTCATGCATGCAGAGAAGAAGCGGCAAGTGCGGAAGCGGCAAGCACTGATGGGTTGTTCTCCATCGACATCAAGCGCATGGTGCTGTAGCGCATGCGGTCGCGAGTGTCTAAGTCAAGCAGGCTTAGTGAGCCATGAGCGAAGCCACTCGGGACTACTACCGAAGCGACGACGGGTTCTGCAGAGAACATAGGCAGAACCGGCGCAGCGTTTGTAGGTACACTGCATTCGATTTACCAACCGCGTGCTTGCATGCCAAATCTATTTATTTCAGGTGGTGGGTTTTCAATTTTGTCCTAATGCCTTTAAATGCCTTAAATGCCTATAAATGTCTGGTGTCTAGTTAGCCATGAGTGAGACCACTCGGGACCACTCCAGAAGCGACGACGGGTCCTGCAGAGTAGTATTCAAAACCGGGGCAGCGTCTGTAGATACGCTGCATTCTTTTTACTAACTGCTTGCTTGCATGCTAAGTCTCTTTATTTCAGGTGGTGGGTTTTCAATTTTGCCTTAATGCTTTTCTTTTTTATATAAATGTCTACCTGTACTCTATTCCATTAACTTGCACACCTCGCTTAAGCCATTTGTATCCGATTTCCATAACATTTTTGTGTTCGTGGCATTTCCGTATAGTATACTTTCTCATCTCGTGAACTTATCTAGGATTCGTTTGTAAACAACTTATTTCATATGCGCATTAACTTAAGGTGTATATCACCGTTTCCTTATGCATCAATCGAGTTATTTTCTTTCTCTCTCTCTCCTTCTCTCTCAAGTGTTTGGTTGCTGTTTGTTATCCCCGGTGTGGCTGTACTTGATGTGAATGTTGACAAGGTGCCTACCTGTCTATTACCCACTACCTCGTCCAGTCTGCTCCAGGAGACAGTTGGTCGTTGCTGGAGGGGACAGGATGCACGGTCCTTGTGGCCGTGTTAGGATCAAAGAGTGGTTCCATGCACTCAGTGTGGAGCGGACTACGGTCCAGCCACCGCTTTGTGTGCGCTTGATTCCCAAATAGAGTGTGCTTGTGTTTGTCTGTGAAGGAGCGTGGGCCGGCTCCGTTGATGAAACGTGGTTCCCATCCGCATGCCTCCCGGTCTTATTCCTTCACGTTTACACTGGATATGGGGTGTGTGGTTGGAGCTGTGGGTGGTGCAGGGCAAGCCGTCCATGGTCCCTCTGTAGGCGCAGGCGTCCTGTGGCTTGCCACAGTGACAGGCAAATCCGAAATCGGATGCCGCCAACCATATATATATATATATATATATATATATATATATATATAGCCTTATTGATTTTTCAACGGTTATCCATTTCACTTTTTCTTTGTCCCAACTCCATCGTTTTGAGTGACTCCTTGTCTATCTCTATAGAATGATATCTCTTCCTAGTTTTAGTATTCTCATTATTATCGCTAGACACAGCTTGGGGAGAGGGTTTTAAATGCACTAGCGCTAGACTTAGTGTTATGCCCGACTGGATGAGCGCTCGTATCAGCTCCTTGTTCAGTACCTTCTAAATGGCGTCCGAGGTTCCTTCCGACAGTGTTATACGGAGTATCCACAAGCACATATTGACCTGTTTCGGACAGGCATTCATTACGACCTACTAACAAAAAATGTTAAAGAAACCATCAGGGAGGTTTTGGGTGACTGTTCGATTGATATTGCCTGGATAGAGTTTGCTGACAACTTCAGTGATCTGGTTAAATCCCCAACGGCAAACATACCCTTTGGTTCCGCAAAAGTACCATCATTCATTCGGAGCAGAACCCGAAAACGCCTGGCGGTAATAGACGCAACGTGGCATGTGTACAAAGTGAGCTTTAGTCCTGATAACCAGAGCAAGTATGTGGTGCAGCATAACCACTATACCACACTTGTCCTTGAGGACAAATTATTACACCAGCAGTACCTGGCTACAATGATATGTGCTAACAACAAGCTCCTGTACAAACACGTTAACAGCCTACGGAAAGTGAAGCGTGGTGTTCCCCCACCCATGTCAGCAAATTTGTATGCTCAAACTGCTGAGGATGCGGCTACAATACGCTTCAATATTCCGACGCGCCACCAGCATGTGTCACATATCAGTTTCATTTTCCCACCTGTTTTTAGCTCGGCGACTGTGTTGAGGCAGCTGCTATCGTTGCTCACTCATAGTTCCCATGGAGTTGACAACATTCATCCGAAAGCACTGCAGGTGACATCTAAGAGCATATCCGAGTCATTAACCCGATTTCCAAAGATGCGTAAAAGAACAGCAGCTTCCTTGCGTCTATGAACGGAGTGTCATTACCCCGCCTTTCAAGGGTGGTAGCCATTCGAAACCCGCCAACTATCGTTCCACGGTTCTCCTCCCAGTGCTCCCAAAGATGATGGAGTCGATCGTAGCTGAGGCACTAATGGGCCATCTAAAAAAACCTAACGTCATAGCACCGGAACAAGACGGATTCACCCAGCATCAGTTATTTACTACTAATCCACTGCGCGTGTCAGTTGGACCGAAACAGCCGACAGTGAGACGGGCACTGATGACATCTATCCCTACTTTTCCAATGACTTCGACAACTTACATCACCGCATCTTTCAATATCTGCAAGTATGGAATTGGGAACCTGTCTTCGGACAGATCAAAAATGTCATTCATCAGGGGCGACTTCAGGTTCGGGTTTCGGGCCCATTTGCTGACGCTTTTGACCTTGACTGCGGTATTTCAAAAGGGTCAGTATTGGGTCCGCGCTTATTCTTGGTCGTCAGCAACGACCTCCTGCTCGTCATGGAGTTAAATTTCTGATTTTTACAGATGATGTCAAGAGATAGCGGGCGATCGGTAATCGGAAAGATCACGGTTTGCTTCAACAAGACTTGGACCGTACTTTTGAACAGTCATAGGGAAATCTGCTTGTGCTCAACGCAGTCAAGTACAAAACATATGCGCCACAGGACAACTAGCGCGTATAAATTTGGGAACCAAGTTTTGAAGACCAACTCACAGGTGCGCGACCTTGGGGGGATGATGCAGGAAGACTTCGAGTGTTGGGCGCAATTCTTGAATGCGTCCGAAATCGGGAACCAAAATGTTGGTCTCTTACAGAGAGCGTTACGGCGTTTTAATACTTCCATTTTCCCTCAACTGCAAAAGGCATATGTGAAGCCTCATGTAGAGTACGCGATTCAGGCCTGACAATACTGGCTAAAACGCGATATAGTTGTACCGGAGACTCCGCAGCGATGGTTAACCAAAAAGTAAAGGTGTCGTCCCACCTGCCATACAATCTGCGACTGAAACTCCTAAGAATGTACAGTGGAAGTTATTATTGAAGTCTATGGGGCGACCACATTCTGGCGTACCAGATCTTGAAAAATTCCGGACACGCTTTCCACCACCTCCTGAAACTTAGCCGCAACACAAAATTAATGGGTTACCAGATGAAATTGTCCACCCAATGCAGTCAGCTGGAATGCCGTCGGAATTATTTTTCTCTTCGAATTTGTCAGCAGTGGAAAGCTCTTACGATTTTTGTCCTTTCTGCACCCACGCTACCCATTTAAAAAAGACTTGACAGTGAGTTGCAACTTCTGCATTACTTGATTTGAATTCTGTTCATCGAGTGATGACATGACGCAGACAAACATTATGCTCAACAACCCCCATGAAATCGAGGTAAACGAATTTACTTGCCTATTAACATGGACAATATGGTGGGCTTACCGATTCGAGTTTCATTTTAGTGTCACACAGTTGAACTTTTGCAATTCACATAGATAATCCCAAGAGGAACTATGAAGCCTTGGTCTGGTTATGCGTATCATACCATTGCTACAGTGTTTCTCCATCGTGCACAAGGTATGTGACCTGTGGAAAATTGCGGTCATCTCAGTGTAAACGTGTTTCGGATGACCCGAATTGTAGCGCGGCATCCCATCAGTAACAGTAGGCTTACGGAATATATTTATTTTTCAAGTTACCATTTCTGTGAAATGGTATTGTATTACCAAAAAGCTCCAAATCCAAGTTAAAATGTGTAATACGGTTAATGGGGTCACTAGTTTAGCAACCTCTTTCCTATCACAAAGTTGCGGTCTACGTAGCGCCACCAAACCTTCGGTGCATTACCAGTATTTGTCAACGCTGTGTTCTCGAAGTCTTCCCAACGAAGCTTTCGTCAAAAGCGAAACGTTACCCAATAAATACGCCAACCGATTGTCCCCAAGTCTTGCTGAACTCAAGAATTCTCAAGTGGTTTCAAAAGTTTATTCCATAATTTGAATTATAACCAAAGCAATTTTCTTAGCGTGTGTGTTTACTCACATTCAGAACTTTCTCACAACGTACTTCCGACTGTTTACAGATTTATTTGTGCTAGGAATGGGGCTGTGACTCATGCAGTGCTGAAATCTCATTTTCGGATTCATTTGTATCATGACTTTTTGGTTGCCAAGCGGAAAGTGGATTGTGGATTTCGCTTCGCGAGTTGCTCCTTTTTATATCATTTTGGGTATCCAGTTGTTGGCACTTGCCGGTCCGTTGCGTTAAGGGTCACAATCGCCGCGATTTCGAGCCGGTGTAAGGGACCGGGATACTCTCGCAGTATCCGTAACCCATGTGCGACTGGTGGTAGTTGCGCGGCATCGAAGCCTCAGTACTTCGTACCAGCGTACTGCTAATGTCTTTTTTCTAATTTAGTTGCGTTATTTCCCCTTTGAACTTATCCACAAGCCAGTGTATCTCACTCTTATTCAACAGAATACAGTTGGACCAATTGAAAATGCAGTACGAACAGACGAAAAGACGAATCAAAGCAGAATTGATCCGCTTGGAAGATGCGAATGCGGCCAGACAGCTACTAAATGAAATGGTCTCCGAGGTGGCCCAGTCACTGCGCGATGCACATGAGGTAGAGTTCTTCCGGATTTGCGGCATATTATGAGAGTTAATCAGCTGCGTGGAATGTCGTGCATTGCAGCTACTCCATGTACGTCGAAATTAGTTTCGCTATCGGGCTAAGTTGTGCGGCATGCAACGCACCGCAGACATCCCCTGCCACTTGCGCAAGGGTGTACGCATCCGCTATCCTATTGCATGAAATCCAGTTATCCAATCAGAGTTGCGCGCGTTTACTTGTTTGCATATGCACATATCTGAGGGAGCAGACCACTTCCTGCTTCCATAAATGGACATGATGACGAAATGTGTGAAATACTGTTCGGCACGTAGTCCCAGCGACACGCAAGTCAGTTTACCCTGTAAATGGTGTCCCGTTCTCCATTCTTGTCGTCACCTCCTAAAGGTGAATAGCAATACCACACTCAGAGGACACCATTTAAAGCTGGACACACAATACAGCCGGTTGGAATGCCGCCAGAATTTCTTTTCCTTTCTTGTGTGTCAACACTGGAACGCTCTTCCCACATACGTTGTTTCTTCCCCCACGCTAACGGTATTCAAAAAACGTCTGGATGATTCGCTTATCCACTTACATTACACTATATAATCAGAGGTGTCTACGTCAACCAGAAGCGAACAAACGGGGCTCATTCGCAATTTTTTGCTTCACTAATTACACACTACTGTTGTGGAATATAGTTTCGGATTTATTACAACTGCATTCATCAATTACCTCAGTCCAAGAAAACGGCGCACGAGTAAGCGTTGTCGTTTCTTTTGTTCTTAAGACATACCTTCCCCATATTACTTCCCATATTACTTTACGGTAACAATTCAGTACACATTCTAAAATGTTTATATGAATAAGGGGCACCTGAATCGCTAGACGCTTAAATTGATGATTTACACTTATGTTTACTTTCACTTCAATCATCCCATGGGACTTGTAAAGCAATCGCTTTTTTACCTGTAATATATCATTGTTCATTCGACTGTCCCACGTATACCGGCATAAGCCATTACATATCTAGGGGCTGAGTTCAGTTCTGAAAGGTGCAGTAGACGGACCGAACAGATCGATGTCTTTCACGTGAATGTGCTTGTGAGTCTTGCATACGACCTTAGCCTGTGGTAATGGGATGGCATGCTATTTCAATGTGTGGCTTTCTGTGGGAGAGTGCTGCCACAATGACTGTTATTATCGCAAGTACCCGTGATCCAAGGGAGAAAGAGAACACGATAGTTCCATCCGCGGTATGGGCAGGAGAACCTAAAGGTAAGGTTTATCGACGCGGACAAACCCCATGATGGCTGTTTGAATGTCCGACCAAATAGCAACCTTTGGAAAACTAATTCGTTCGTTCTGAGACTCCGCTGCAGCGTAAATCTTGCGTTTTTTTTGCAACTTCGCATGTTTATAGTTTTACTGAGTCCAAGACCTTTGCTGCTCCACCTCACTTGGATTTGGGGATCAAGCTAATTACGAATACTAATCCATTCTGTGGTGTTTGGGAAACCTATTTCGCTCGCAACGGGCGAGCATTGTAGTAACCAGTTTGTGCCCAATCTGAGTCAGATGGTTAAGTCTGGAAAGTCCTGGTTGGGGTCGAAACCAACCCTTCACTTGTCTCTCAGTTAAAATTCAATGCTGGCATTATCGTGATAATACAGAACGAGTCGAGCTGCCGTGTACACTTGAAGTATTGGTGATTATGCCTTAGTATGGACACCAGACTTTCTCCCAGCAGTACGCCACTACATTGTATCGGCACCTAGCTACACTTCAGGCGTAAACTAGAAGGGATATGACACTAGTGGGGATTAAAACTGGGTGAATTTATGGGGGACATAAACATGGTAACTTAACGTACGGTCTTCAACAACGATCCAACGTTACAGAAAAGACAGTGTCGACCCAGCCATTTCCTTCTGGCTGGCAAAATCCACGTCATAATCGACTCTAAACCACAGACTAATCAGCGCTAACAATAGGTTTTTCAATTAGGAGACAAGAGCAAAGTGCACTACTGACGCTGGTTGCACAAAATGCCCTGAAACTTTGTGAATCAAATCCAGAGTTAGTCGCATGTATTCTAGGCTGGAAAGCATGACAGATCAATAGGACCCAGTTCGGTCGTCAGTTAATTCTTTTGATGTTGCCATTTCAAAGACTTCCCTGGCGAACGAAACAAGGCAAACTCAATGGAACGAATGTACAAGCCTAATGAAACTTATTCGATCTTATTTGTTGGTCCAGACTGATCTCCTCCATCCAGTACATACTCGCGCCCTTATCGTAGCAAATATACTGATGCCAGCGGAAGCAAGCAATGCTTCATAAACAACGGCAATCAAAAGGCGCTTGGGGATTTCTTGAAAAAGGCTTCAGTAGTACGCCGATAAGCGGTACAGACGCTTCGCCGCCACGCAGTCGCGCGTGGACTAAGGATACTGCGCGGGTCGTCCGGTCCCCTACGCGGGCCTCAACCCATCATCATCATTATACACATTAGCTAGAGGTGTAAAACACCTCAGCTATTGTGCCGCAATACATAAAAGGAAATATATACAACAGTTGCATGCCAGCTTAGCTATCAGCAACGAGTGGGTATCGTTCCGGAAAGCTAACAGTCGGCTACTAGGCTTGAACCTAGGACCTCCGGGTTGCAAGGAAGACGCCTTGTCCTTTCGACTGTGGGCGGGCAGGTTTCGTGGAGGAGAGCGGTCTTCAAAGTGGTTTTGAAAACACTGACATTCCATTGTGAAATGTGTAACCGCCTCATGGCAAGTTATAGAATTTGCACCGCTAGAGGTAACTTCGACAGTATTCACCCATTGCTATCAACACAGCTTTCCAGATAGAAGAATAGATTAGTTATCATCAGTCCCTCCTTCGCAGGTGTCAAAAGGGAAGTGGGAAACTGAGTGTTATAACAGACAGGGCCCTGGGGTTAGCGGATACCATCACTAGAAGCATAGCCCTGTTCTCCATAGATATCCCGCGATGTCGATGCAGAGATCGAGTCTACACAATGAGCGAAGTAACACAAAGTTTGCGAACATGCGGTAGGCTTGCTCAATTACCAAAGAACAATTAGCAATCTTGCTAATCGAGCACCATGTGTGTTGCACCATGGTGCACGATGAGATGGATTGTCGGTTCGTGGCTTTAAGCATCACGAGCGCGCCTTGTAATCCTGAGTTCGCGGGTCTCAGCCCGCGTAGGGTGCCGAGCGACTTTCACAGTGCACTTAAGCTATGTGCGACTGGTGGTGGTCACTCGGCAACGAAACGTAGGTACTTCGTACCAGCTTACTGCTAATGTCTCTTATGTTTGTTGTATCCGTTCGCTGCGATTGGGTAGCCCATTTTCCCATCACTCGTCTTCGCTTTCTACAGTCAAGAATAACGTGAGTCTGTGCAACTCGGAAATGAAATTGGGCCCTAGTGAGCAGTTTGTGCATGCTCGGCAAGCCCATCGACATATTACGCACTGTGTTTTTGCGGCAGTGTGTGATTGGGCTTTCTGTGAATTGAACCAGTACGTGTCCCGAGAAGGTCACATTGCAACTTCCACCTCCATCTTTGTATATCCCATCCTAAACCTTACGGTTCTCAGTGTACAAACACCTTGAATATGAACGCTTTCCATTAACTTAGTCAAAACTCCCTAAGATAAACTTCTTCTCATTCATCTTATGCGCAATTCCCATTCTGTGTAACCAATGTTCACGTCTTGCAGCATTTGAGTAACTGGAAAGTGTCAGCCATGTTTCTGTTATGAATATTAGTGGACATATCCGGTGGTTGTCCGGCAGCCAGTCCAATTTAAATAGGCTCGTTAAAGTTCCTAATAGGCTGAGGTATCAGGGTTTATCATGCTAATGGCGTTGCAAAGGGCAAGGCGTACTGACAAAGAAAGGCAGACAGCCAAGATTCTCTCCAATCAGTACCAGAGCAGTCCTTGCTGTGGTGGTGCTGGTCGACCGGTTTATGCCGCTTACTCCATTGGTTTTTCTAATCCTTTATCTCATCTCATGGTTGTAGGACAGTTCCTTGACGTACCCTCATCCGTTTCGACGTATTTGGTGGGCACATGGGATTAATCACAACCATCTTTACCTTCCAGTTATTTCAGCCAGAGGTAGTTCTAGCCAGGTCCGAAAAACGACACCGGAAGAATCGCCTTCTGGCGGCATTGTTCGTTCTTCTGTCCACGAGCGATCTATTGGGCAGTCGAACTACTCTTCGTCAACTCGGAATCTCGAGTATAAACCGATCCTCGTCTCCACCCTATCGATTACCTTTTATGAATCGGTTTTCCAGTCCAACAGTCGGCACTGAACACAGTTGTGCCGCTTCCATTGCTGGTGCTTTGAAGTAAGTTCATACCGTGGATGAAATGTTTATTTTCTGACACATTCTGCCCAATAAGCTCTAGTTGCAGGTGTCAGAAATCGGCTTTGTCGCAGTCGGAAGTGCGGCTGCTTTCACAGCAGTCATGAATATTAATCAGCTCGCCTAATTATCATATCATTTTCCACTAAGATCTGCATATCGCACAGTGTCTGAAACGCGCGATAATCACTTCTTTATTTCTCTTTTGAGAATTCATCACCTTGTTACAACTGATCTCCTGGAGTATGAACCCGAAGAGCACAATGCAAGCTCGTGCGCCCAATTGACCAGTGAGCTACTTCGCGGACTTCACCAGCACTTGCGCCACCAAGACAAACCAAGTTCGTCTGTTCGTTCGGTCACTGTCAAGGCTGTTCCACGGGCGGAAACCGCTTCACAATGTCACACGATGCCAGCACTTCAGACATCAACCAGTGACCAGTACGCTTCTGTGAGACTGCCAAAGTTAAGAAACAAACCACGGATGCGGCTACAGCATAGCTCACGTATGTTTCGAATTTTCAACTCTCCAGATCAGGAATGCTTGCCCAGTTTATACCCGCTCACTGTTTTATGAATCATAACATTGACTGATCTGCTTCAATAAATAAACTTATGGCAACATAATGCAGATTGTTCTGCTTATTCTCCAATAAAGGCGCTTCAGCTTGTGTCCGTAACACAGAGTTGTTAGAGTGACGTTGAAACAAGACAGAACTGCATGTGGGATGGTCAAAGGGCTATAACAAGACATTCCAAGTGGAGTGTCCAGGGTTGGGGAAACTAATAAAGGAGGTCGGCGGAAATTCGTGTAAAATGCCTCTTGTAAGCGACGAATTAGCTTGGGGCTCGACCAACTCGCAAAACTCCTGGGTCAAACTAATACAAAGACGAAATTTAACTATGGTACTATTCAGATAGTGCAGTACGGACATACCTCAACAGGGCCTGTTCATTGGTGAAACAATTAAGTCTTCACAATGCACACAAAAAATGTAGATCACCGACTTGCCCACTGTACGGCAAAATCACAACTCCCCCTACTACTGTTCTGTAAAATCGTAAAACCCAGATTCTGCGAGCGGAATCCCAGGTCCCTTCTATTCGGTCACATAGGCCTGCCCAATTGGTTCGCTGTATATCACATAGAAGGAGACAATGCATTTAGTACTTATGGTGGCTTCAAAGGGGTTGGGCGTAATATATCGCGACGCAAATGTGGAGTGAAGGGAACGACTGGCGGACGTGCCCATGGGACAAGAATGAATCAATGTCCGCATGAGAGAACGAGCAACAGGGGTTGGAATGAAACCAAAGGGCAGCGAACATGGTGATACAGGGTTGATGAATACTTGGTAGGTCGGGATTAACAGATGGCGCAGGTGTCAATTGTGGTTATCCAGAGTAATATCCCAATATCCAATTTGCGAATTGCATGGTTATTTTACCTGTTACACCCCTCCAGTGTACCAATGTGTCTTCGTGCAATTATCTTGGATGAGGTAGACTCAGTTACATAACAAAATATGTCACTATAGATAGTCTTGGCATAGTGCCAATTATACTATGGTAATCGAGAGATTCAGATCGCTTACGCTGGTTTCACTGAAAGTGCGTGTTGTCGGTGACTATTATAAGGATGAAAGGCTGTGCGTTCTTTTTTCCTTATTTTGTGATGGCCATCAGACCGAAAATCAAAGGCTCACGGTGGTGTTCTGTTATACATAAAATCGTCACTATCTGCCAAACTTACCAGCACCTATCGCAGCGAGGGTAGTTTATGCGAGCAATTGTGGTGCACAATCCGCCTCAGGCGCGCAGAACTAATAGTGGGGGTTATCTACCGGAGCCCATTAAACCGTTGTTGTGATTGGCTACCACAGGTACAGAAGCACATGAGTCGCCCTCACTTCTTACTGATGGGGATCTAAATTTACCTAAGATATTTTGGCCAGACGTTCAACTTCTTCCCGGTCATAGCAACATTGAGGCACAATTCGCTAAAATGACTATTGAAATCGGGGCAACGCGACATGTCATCCAACCGACGCGCATAACTCCGTACTCGACATCTTGTCTGGACCTAATGTTTGCGAGCAGAAGCTGAACGAGATCAGAGTCATCGAACCTCTGGCGAACAGTGACCACTGCTCCATTGTGGCAAGCTTAGAACTGTCATTACCACATTACAATCAACGGAAGCCGACATTCAACTATTGGAAGACGGACTTCAACGGGCTCGTCCAAGCTGCAAGTCAGACTGATTGGACACTACCACAGGATGCGTCACTTGAGGCCAGTTGGTCATTAATGAAGGGGAAGCTTAACTCGCTCTGTACTCGTTTCGTTCCCCTTAAGTATTCAAAGATCGGACCTGTCAAACCGCATTGGTTTGATACGGAATATAGAGTTAGCGCGACGGCGTCGCAAACTTTGGGATAGATACATCAGCTCGGGTTGTGATGAAGATTACGCGGTGTACAGGAAACAGCGTAACTTATGTAACGGCGCAAAGATCAAGAAACGCCGGCACTTCGAAGAGGAGCTAGCATCCTCGGCCACAACTGCACCCAAAAGAATATTTGCCTACTTGAAACGTCAACTGAAACCTGGGGGCGACCTACCGGTCTTAGGGAGCTTAGACGGTAAGACGCTCATTTCAAGCGCGGAGCGCGCAGACGCCTTGGCTACGCACTTCCTCACTGTATTTTCCAGTAAACCGGCGGCGGTTTCACTAACGGCACAGCTTGCGCCCGTGTTAATCAACAGCCTACAATGTGATGCAGTCGAAATGTACCAGCTACTCGTCAACCTCGATGGTGCAAACCCCCCCGGACCAGATGGACTTCACCCACTAATACTCAAGTCCCTATCGATTATCATCTCACCAGCCGTGACAAACCTTTTCAATAAATCGCTCTCTGGAGGATCTGTCCCGAACGACTGGAAATGCTCGATAGTTAAACCGCTTCCCAAGGGTGGTGATCCGGGTAAACTAGAGAACTATAGACCGATCTGTTTGACTTTGGTATTATCCAAAGTGCTGGAGAAAGTTGTGACAAAGAGTCTGCTATCGTTCTTCGAATCGATGGACGTATAGACGCCAGTGCAACACGGCTTTACGAAAGGGCTATCCTGCATCACCAACTTGATGTACGCAAACCACCAGTGGGTACGAGCTCTCAACGAACGGAAGGATGTTGACGTGGTGTACATCGACTTTAGTAAGGCGTTTGACAGAGTGAACCACGAGGTACTCCTTCGTAAACTGAGGACATACGGAATCGGTGGCACGTTACTTCACTGGTTACACTAGTTTATTGTGGGACGAAAGTTTAGAGTACAGGTGAATGACTATCTGACAGACTGGTTCCCATCGACCAGTGGCGTGCCTCAAGGAAATGTACTTGTGCCAGTATTATTTCTTATTCATATCAACGATCTTCCGCAGCAGCTCCAGTCACCATGTGCCCTGTTTGCAGATGATTTGAAAATCTGGAGGATCATTGAAAACCAGGACGACTGCGCTCGCCCCCAGCTTGACTTAGAGCGACTGTCAAGGTGGTCCACTGAAATGCAACTCCCTCTTAACGCAAGCAAGTCGGAGTTCATCAGTATCACCAGACGTCCAGCCACTCGATCACACACCTTGGACGGCCAGTTGCTCCATCCCAACACATCTGTCAGAGACTTAGGAGTTCTCTCACGACATGATATGAGATCGCTAGAAAATACAGAGAAATTGTACCGTGCGGGACTTCGTATGCTCTGGACATTAAGACGCAGTTTCTTCACATGGTCCGAAGAAACCGTCCCTCGTCTATTCACCTCGCTCGTTAGACCAACCCTTGAATACGGTGCCCCAGCTTACCATCCGATAACCCAATGGGAAACTGAAAATCTGGAGAAAATACAGCATATCGCAACTAGAATGATACCGAGTCTACAAAAGCTTCCGTATGAAAACCGTTGTGAAAGGCTCAGACTCTACACACTATCCTATCGCCGAGTAAGAATTGACCTTATTATGACCCATCGAGTACTACACTTAAATCACTTCCCCATACTGCGGCCAATATTTCACCTGCGGGAACCCTGTAACACCCGAGGACACCGTTACAAACTCAGGGTCCCCAAATTGAACAAAGTATCACACCAGCTTTGTATCGAACGAAGAATCGTCAACTTATGGAATACACTACCCGAAGGATTATTAGAGGCCGATTCTGTGAAGTGTTTTAAAACCCGTATCGACGATTATTTCGGAAAACTGTGCTTTTGTGAAACGATGCACATACAATGCCAAAAGAAGACATTGTATGCCCGGAAATAATGACACTAGTACAAAGTGCTAACCGAACAAGGATAAACGATTAACGGACCAGACAAAACTGCTGATGATTCACAACTAAATGTTTTTGATTTTGCGTAATTCGATAACGTTGTACAGAAAACTTTCTACTCGTTCTTAAATACAGTCTCGGTCTCAGACCAAGTATAGTTGTGCTGAATTCAAGAAACGCAAGCCAATTTCCCCCACCATCCCCTAATTCTCTTGTTCATTCACTTGCCAGCTTGCATTTCACCAAAGTGGAACGATTTGCCTTTGTGGTTTGAACGCTTTCCTAATATCTCTGTGAAACACATTTTAACATTATTGCTATTCCTAACTCACTTTTGATAAGTATTGAAGTATTTACAAAACTACCCTGAGATTTCGTCGGTGTCGAACCACTTGCAGTCCTCTGCTATCTACTGGCTCAAGGAAAGAGAAGTAACCCGCAGCAGCAAAGGATGAGTCGCCAGTGAAGGGCACGATGCACGTCCCATTCCGACACAGTTGTTCACAATTGCCAGCCAGCCGGTTTGTTCAATCAATTCACAAGCAATGAAATTTCGTCCGCAAGTCTCGGTAAGGAAGCCAGAAATACAAGCAAGTTATCGAAGATCGGTAATACGTAGTAACGAATTCAAGCGAAGCAAATCAGCAGACTGTAGTTAGGCAAGAACAACGCACAGTGCGAAACAGAGTGTATCGGGCGAAACACTGCAATAAGGCTCACACGACACACGAGTTAATGCATGAAGTGGGGAACTATTGATTGGTCAATGCGAGACAAACCAATCAGAACGCGATGTGGCTGAACTAACTAATCAATATCCTCGACGGAAGTAACAATCCGCAACGCTGGCTGCGCAGCTGAATGCCATTTTTCACATGACCTCTAAAGACAGTTGAAAAGGCATCAGAATTGTTGTAACAGCCTAGTTTGGATACAGCGCCCTAAGTCGCCTCAACTAATTAGTTGTTTTGGACTGTGTTCCGCGACGACAAGTGATTGATCGAATTCGGATGGACGCAGCCGAGTGATTCAGTCGGCCAACTGTACTTCCTCCCTTTATTGAGACTAACACGGTCACCGCACGACTACTCGCGACCCCGAGTGTGAATACTGAATATTGAACAGTAGAGACTTGAATTTGTATAACTCCATCGCTAATATAATCGAAAATGTTATAAAAAGTTTCCGCAATCCGTAATAATATAATCGTTCTGTAAACTCTGATGAAGCATTTTAAAACGTCTGCCTTACGGTTTCACTGCGTCCACAAATGTATGATGTCATTGCTAGCGTGTAGTCGTTTTCTGAATGGAAATT